ATTAATTTCAAATAAATATTTGTACAGTACATTCTTCTGATATTCTGCTTTGAAAGTACTTTCTATCAAGAACTGTACTTTGATTTTCCTCACCCAGCTTATTATGCAACACTTTTTACTTCATTCTCAGACTAGACCTTTTAATTCTGGAAATTAAATGATATTTTATAGTCTTCTAGGGAGTATTTTCAAGGAAATTACGCCTCACAAATCACCAGGTAATTTCCTTTCATTTATTCTTTTTATTGACAAAAAGCAGACCCTATTTGCAATTTCTATATACAGTACCCTTGCCTGCAAGCAAATATTAAGTTACTGAATGAAAGATACTTCTTCCCCATTTCTACAAAGTAAAATATTCTTTTTCTTCTTCTCTCAGCTTCACACACACATGAACTCAGGCAACAGTAGGAAGTGTTGGGAAAGATCAATCCATAGAGTATTTTTTCCATATTTTCCCCTTTCAAAGGGTTCATTCTAAGCCAACTATGGCGTTAAAAGCACGGATCAAAGGCTCAAATACAAGTATCCATATTGATATTTAAGTACCAAGATGAAAATTACCTGTTCTTCAGAATTAGGAGCCTAGCTAATAAAAGTAGTATCACCTTCAAAGCAGAAAGCATTCTAGTACAATCTGTTTAGTCTACTAGGCAGCTACACAAAGCAACAGTTAAAATTTGAAATTGGTATAACTAAGCATTTAATTCTGTGATAGGGGGGGGGTGGGGGGGATTGAAAAAGACATACATTGTAACTATTAGAAACTGGAATTATTCGGATTGTGAACCTTATTTGCAGACATTATCTAAATGAGGCCTGCAGAGTGTAAGGGACTTGTAACATAGGGTATGTCTACACTACCCTCCTAGTTCGAACTACCGTTACTCCTCATTCCACGAGGAGTAATGGTAGTTCGAATTAGGAAGCCTATTTCGAACTACCTAGTTCGTGCCGCGTGTAGCCGCGCGGCACAGGGTTCGAACGAGCGGGGATTTAAAAATGGCGGAGCCCCGCTTATGCAAATGAAGCCCGGGATTTGAATTTCCCGGGCTTCATTTGCATAAGCGGGGCTCCGCCATTTTTAAATCCCCGCTCGTTCGAACCCTGTGCCGCGCGGCTACACGCGGCACAGGGTTCGAACGAGCGGGGATTTAAAAATGGCGGAGCCCCGCTTATGCAAATGAAGCCCGGGATTTGAATTTCCCGGGCTTCATTTGCAAGTGCGGTATGCCTACATTACCCCGCTAGCTCGAACTAGCGGGGTAGTGAAGACATACCCATAGAGCCTTTTGTTACTGTCACAAATCAAGTAGAGTTTGTTTGAAGCATATATGTTCAAATATCATGGTAATGAACTTTGGATAAAAACTTTCATTTCTAAATTCTATAAACATACTCTGTAAATCAGGTGCAATGCACTTTGAGAGATGGCATGAGGAAACAGAGCCTTAACCTTTTAAGACCAAGGCAGGCCATTCTTCCTTTACCACCCATCATGAAAGTATCTGCTTTACAATCTCCCAGGGATTCCAGAGGTGACATAGCACCAAGGCTGTTGAGGAAATGTCTGTAGCGGTGCATTTGTTGCTTGACCTAGCTATATTCTCTCCCTTCCAATGCAAGGCACTTTTGGGGATGTGCCGGCTGCCTGAAGGTTCTGACAGCTTTTCTCCACTGTCGCAGCCTCCCAAGATCTGTATCAGAGTCTTTTCTTGCCCTACGTAAATTTAACTCAGTAACACTAAATACACTAAGCTGCAATTCCTTAAGGAAAACTTGCACCTACATAATCACATTGATATTTTAACTCTACTGGAAATCCTTAACAGATATGCCTTGCACAAGTGTGACTTACCCCCTGAACTTCCTGGAGCGAAGTACACTAACTAGTTCAAGCTATTTTTTGCACCAGTTCATTATATTTACAATGTAGAATGCACTGTATGCACAATATTCATTTGGTTACACTCATGTAAATTTTCCTTGTCCTGAAAAACCCTTAGACTGCTTTAAAAACTAACGATATCACTTGCAGGAAAAATGTAATCATAAGATGAAAAAGCTTTTCCACTCTTGTTCTGTGCCTTAACTTATTTGTACACATATAGCCACTGATTTGGGATTTTTAATTAACAGTGTTTCACTTCTCCTAAGAAAAACAAAACAATGTCAGAGCACCAAGAAATTTCCTCTCAATAAGATCACTCAGAATTTCAGAGTAAGCACGGAAGATTTAACAGCATTGTATAACATAAGCTACTATATTTTGAATGTTTTATATAGAAATGATTATAAATTTCTTTCTCCTTACAATTTCTTAAAATTATGAAAATCATTCAGGATTTCTTATAAGAGGACTAAATCAGACTGCTTCTGCACTGGCTATTACAAATTTGTTCAAAGCTATTGTAGTCTGTATAGTTGCTGGTTTTAAGATCTGCTTGGTTTTGTTGTTACAAAAAAAACAACAAACCCCCACCAAACCTGAACATCTCTCCTTCAAGAGCCACCCATACGCCATCTAGTGGAAAAGACTTTCCAGGTGAAAAAATCCTGGCCCTATTGAAGTTAATCGAAGTTTTGTCATTGGTTTCAAAACGAGACCAGGATTTTGGCTTCCCTGTCTCTAGCAAGATATTCAATTGTAGCATTAATACAATTCTTCAAATGAGTAAGGAAGAATGTTATGCTATTTTACATCAACAATGATTTAAACAATAAATCAGTCGTTTTCTCTCTAAAAGTTTCCCAGATTATGCTTGCAAATAAACAAGCTCATATTTGTCATGATGTATAGAGCAGGGGTTGGCAACCTACAGCATGCATGCCACTTATGGCACTCGAGCCGATTTTCAGCGACAAACAGGAGGGAGCTCAGCCCTGCTCCTCTTCCCCCATGAAGCCACTGGAGAGCACGCTCCCTCCACCCTGCAGCAGGTTAGGCTGTGGTGGGAGGAGGCAGCGCTGGGGCTGAGGCAACTCAGCAGCACCTTGGCTGGGACTGGAGGCACTTCTGCCACGACCACATGGTTCAAGAACAGCCCAGAATCACATGGCAGTGAAGCCTCTGGCCTCTAGGGCCAGCCCTGGATGGCCTGGTCGTGGCAGCAGGGCCTCTGGGGTTGGCCCCGCACCATGTAGCAGCAGCACTTCCGGCCTCTGGGACCAATCCCGGACCGACTGGCTGCAGTGCCTCCAGGGCTGGCCCCCGACCATGTGGCCATGGTAGCAGGTCTCCAGGGCTAGCCCTGGACCACGTAAGAACTGGCAGCAAGACCTCCCTTTGGGGCATCTCTGGCAGCAAGGCCGCAGCCACTGCTGTAAGGGAGGGCAAAGCCAGGTAAGGTCCCCCCTCATTCCCAGAACCCCCCAAATTCCAATCCCCACACTCCTCTCAAGAGCCCATCTGCCCAGCTTGCTCCAACACCCTCCCTTGTTCCTGCACCCTCCCTTCTGGCCTGCCCAGACATCCCCATCTTGCTTCTGCATCCACCATTGTTACTGCACCCTCTTTCCTGGCCAAACACTGCACCCTCACTTGCTCTTGCTATCTCTACCTGGCCAGAGACCCTACTACCCAGCCTGCTTCTGCATCCTACCTCCCACCCAAACCTTGCAACCTCTCCCCTTTCTGCACCCCACCTCCCACTTAGATCCTGCACCCACATCCCTATCTTACTTGTTGGCAGTCCTCTCTCACACACTATACCCCTCATTTTTGTCCCTACCCCAGAGTCTAAGGGCTCCAGAACCCCAGAAAAGTAAATCTGGTCTATGGGAAGCCCTGAACCTCAGTTCCCCCCTCCTAACCCAGTGAGGCTGGGGTACCAAAAGAGTGAGGTCTCTCAGTTGGGGGCCACATCAATGACGGCTGGGGTTTTTTGGAGTTTTTTTGCTTCTCACTTGTATGATCCCCAACTGATCTTTCTGTGGGTCAGTAACCCCCAACCCAAAAAAGGTTCCCCACTCCTGCCATAAAGAAAGAAAACATGGAAGCCTTTTGTGTTGGCTTAATATTTTACTTTATTTAAAATTAAGTTTGATAAACTAACATGAGAAAGTTAAAACACTTAATCTGTTTCATAATTTAAATTAAACTATTCTCCCTAACTGCAACTGGTTCAGAAAATATGGTCATCATATCCAGCCTGCCCATGACTCCCCTCTTTCTGCTCTCCACCCAGCGCACAGACCCATGAATAAATTAAATCTTAGTACTTATTCTGAAAGGTTACCAGCCCCTCCACTGAAAGGTAAAATCTGCATCTTTCTTTATTAATGAAACTGCTGTAAGAAGGACTATCATTGATTGTAAAAAGTATCACCAGCACTTGGAGCCGTACATAGAGGTGAATATGTCAATTCTCGGCACTCCACCGCTGAAAGGTTGCTGATCCCTGATGTATACAGTGATAATGGTTTAGAACTTAGTCAAAATTATGCAAAACACAATTTCATATAAGTACCATTTATACATAATATTTATCAGATTTGCAGAGTTCTGCTGATATGGACCCTTTTGATTTGGCTTATCGTGAAAAGGAAAGAACAGTGTTTTGGCACAGGAGATTAAAATGCATGCCCATTAGCTTTGATGCAATAGGCAAAATAGGATAATTCCTTTAGATTTGTAAGTGAAGTAGACAGATTAATGAATTGTCAGACAATGTCAAAATATTCTCCACTATTGTGAAATACAAAAAGTGTTTTTGTACAAATCTAGAAAAGCAGCATTTCCAGCTGTGATACAGATCATTATAAGAGCACAAAACAGAGTATTAATGAGCATTCATGAATTTCCCATTGATTTTATTATACTCCATGCTATCTAAACTTTTAGCTAACTTAGTGTTTCTATGCACTGTAAAATTTCATAGAAAAGTGGTAATTTTATTTTAGAACAGCTGGGTTTTTTTAAATTAATAAATGCTAATCCAATCTAGTTTTAAATTA